AAAAAAAAAAAAAAAAAATTATATATATATATATATATATATATCAAAGAAAAGGTAAATGATAAGCTGGAAAAAAGACTGCAATGTATTTAATAATTAATATACTTAATATATTAAAAAATCAAATTTGTAAGAAAAAATTCAATACATCAAGAGAAAACATATATATTAAGAAGTACATGTAAAAGGAAGTTCCATATTTCAATTATGAAAATTGCAAATAAGTTTTGATTAAATTTATAATATACAGTGTTGGTTAGCATGCATAGAAACAGAGAAACAGATGCTGTTGGTGGAAGTGTGTCTCGGTTTAATTTTTTGGAGGGCAGTTTGAAAGTAACAAAAGTCTTAAAAATGTCCATAAAATGTACTTTACAGATGTCCACCTGGTTGTTCCACCTCTAGCAATTTGTAAGACATAGAAATAATTCAACACAGGGCCTCATTCTGTCCCTCAGGCTGGAGTGCAGTGGCATGATCACAGCTCACTGCAGCTTCGACCTCCTGGGCTGAAGTGATTCTCACACCTCAGCCTCCTGAGCAGTGAGGACTATAGGTGCACACCACCACACCTGGTTAGTTAAAATCTATTTATTTGTTTGTTTGTTTAGTAGAGAGGAGGTCTCGCTATGTTGCCCAGGCTGGTCTTGAACTCCTAGGCAGCATCATTTTTTCTTTCTAAGTGTTAAACTGGCAACAACCCAAATTCATAGCGTAAGGGTTATGCTTAAAATATCTAGCTCTCTGATGGAGTATCTTCAAATAATATTTAATGACCTTAAATCTCAGACAAAAAGGTAAGGGGACAAAATGAGAAACCCATTTCCATACAACCCCAATTTGGAAAAACACATGTGCAGGTATACCCATGTTAAAAAGTATAGAAGAAAAAGCTTTAAGGAAAAAAATTAATAGTGATGATATTGGGGTGGGAGTCGCATTATTTTTATTTTTAATAATTTCTATATTTTAAAACTCTATAATTTTATCAGGGGAAAATGTTATGTTGGGGAAATTAATTGATCGATTGAGTGACTGGTTAATAGACAGCTTACGATGACTCATATAATCCCCGGGTTCGAGTCCCCTTTAGGCCGCAGGCGTTTTGCACCTTCTCGGGTGTCCAGGTCGCACATCTGTACAATGAGGGGTAATATACTAGATTACCTGAGGTCTTCTTACTGCAAAAACACCCGTGTCTTAGGGTTCCCCAATGGAATTTGGGGGCCGGATTGACTTCGGAGACGGAGCTCATAAAGGCCAGGGCTGCTGCAGATTCTGACGCTTTGAGGACTCCGTCCCCCCACACCCACAACTACCACGCGCAGCGCAGGTTTTCTTCCCTGCTGGTGAGATCTAAAGCCCACGCCATCCTGGTACACTAGGACAGCGCCGCTTCTCACATTACTATGGGGGTTTCTACTCCATGGCGGAGAAAGGACAGAACTGCTGCCTTAAATGCGCTTTTGCGTCATCCGGTAGCTAACCTCCGGCCACATTGCTCCCCACTCCAACATGCCACTTTCCCAGGTGCGTTTATCTAAATATACCCCATTTACAGACTTCTAAGGTGCATCATTAAGAACAGGGCGCTCTGCAGTTTGCAAATCACCTCTGACAACTCCAGGTTCCTACCATAATTAAAGGATGACATTATGAGCAAAGTAGCATCCAAATTTGAGACATTTAACTTTCACATTCTATATATGCACTTTTCCAAAGTCTTGTAATACACAGGCCCAGTGCGGCAAAATGAGCGTCGCGAGCCAGCCAGGAGTCGAACCTAGAATCTTCTGATCCGTAGTCAGACGCGTTATCCATTGCGCCACTGGCCCCGAGCTACCAAGGCTTTCTGCGTGATGGTTGATCACTCCCTACGCAGTTTGAACAGGCTTCCGGGCACCGGCGATCCATTTTACCCGAGTGCTACAGCTCCCGCAGCTCCGTCTTTCCCCCAGCCCGCTCCGCCAATCCGCAGCAAGTACGTCACGACGCTTTTCGTCTCATTTCGACCCGCCGTGTCGGAGGCCTCTCTAGCTCGCGCACTAGTTTGTCCTCCACCGCCACCCGTTCAGGCCGGCTCTCTGCGAGGCGGGGAGAGGGGTGGGACGAGGCTGGTCGCTGCGGCCGCCGTGCCAGGGTGACCGGTAACGCTGCAGCCGAGGTGGCGGCGCGGGGCGGGGCGGGCGGAGAGCGAAGGAAGGAGGTGGTTGTGCAGGATGGCGGCGGCGGCCTACGAGCAGCTGAAGCTGTGAGTCCCGCGGGCTGGAGTCCTGAGGGGTGGCGGGCGGGGCGGCAGGTGTGGGCTCCGGTCTCGGGGAGGGCTCCTGAGTCCCGGGCGGCAGATAGGGTGTGGGAGCTCTTCGCACTTACTGGCCTTGCTCGTCCGGCGTGGCCTCTCCTAGGCCTCACCCGAGCAGCCAAGGGCCGGGAACCAGGGGCTCGCCGGCTTTTCTCCACCGTGCTCGGCCCCAGTGCCCACGGCTGGAGAGAGAAGCTGCAGACTGGCCTCCAACGAGCCGGGGTCGGCTTTGCGGTGCGGCCCTTCCGGGCACGCTTGTTCCCCACTTTCTATGGAGAGCTGGCGACTACATTTATCTGTATGACTTAGCAGAGAAAAAGAGTTTTCTCTTACTTAACGGACCTGTAGCAGCACTTTAGAGTCTACACACAAATCAACAAATTTTTGTTTTGGTTGCAGCCTATCTGGGCCACCGAAGCCAGCCTGACCAGTCTTCAGGGTGCAGAAAAAATTTACAGTCAGCACTCTTAAGAACCTGAAGAAGTTTACTTTGGTTTAAACTTTATACAGCTCCAGCCTAAGGCAGGTTCTTAAGTCTGTGTCGACAGCCCGAGGCTAATCTCGAGAATTTTGGCACTGTAAATTGACTTTTCGGTAAATCCAAGTTCTTGAGTCTTTGAGAGAGAGGCTCTGGTTAAGAGTTATAAAATCTGTGTTTTTAAGGGCTTTGGCTTGTCTTGGATTAAAGAACAAAATGTGTTTATTTCCCTTAGTGTTACCCATTAGCATCTACACTTTTCTTGTCTCAGTAATTTTGTTCTACTCAACTTCGTGTTTAATGCTTTACTCCTAGGCTGTTTGAAAATCTGGTGGCCACAGGCTGGTCTAGTAGGAGAAACAAATGTAATTTTTAAGAAGCTTATCTATCCCTATACAGGCTAAAATATCTTGGCACTTAGGCGTAGATAGCACATTTCCGTTGCAGGGAAATGACATCAAAATGTGGTTTGGGCACTTCTTAAGCTCCTCAGACCTCAAGCTCACTAATAACTTTCTGCAAGGTTCAGCGGAAAGTTAGACGTGCAAAATTCAGAGAGGGGTCATCTATTTCACGTTGTATGTGTTGCAGGAAAGGTGATGATTGCCTTTTCTACAGTCCACCCCCTTTGCCATTTCTGTTTACTGTAATGTTGTTTGAAAACCCTAGCTGCGTATGCGCACTTCCCTCCACATTTTCCTCTCCACTTTTCCGTATTTTCTCCCAATTCCCCTTGGCAAAGTGCTCACCTTGTTCTAGGTGAAAGAGTTGAAGGAAATGTCTTCCACTACGTTTCTGGCCAGGCCATTGTCACATGTGGTCTGCCAGCTAATTAGGTTATTGTCTATCTGATAGGCGTTGAAGGGTTTAATGTGATTCTATACCAGGTCTCAAATGTGTTTAAGCAATATGGTGCCTTGGCTTGATGCAGCTTAGCGTTAGGTTACAGGATGCAGTTGAATTTTCCTGTGGCAAAGATTGAATAGGATGGAGAACTTCAGAATTATGATGATTGTTTTTCAGCTGCCAGGACCCTAAATTTAACCAGTTCAGACCTTGAAACAAACAAACCAAAGACCTCTATATACATAAAAGAGAAAGGAAATTTGTCTCTTAATTACCAAGAATGATGTTTTTGTATTGATTTTTGTGATAAGTGGAAGCTCTTAAATTATTTGGGTGATAGAGTCAAACTGGGGTTATGTGAAAGTCATTCGCTCATTTGTCAGTCCTTTTTACCCCCTGAAAAAATAAAGTTTTGAGTGTTTCTGTAATGTGAAGATACAACTTTTTTGCAACTTTATCAAGGGATTTATGACTTAGAAACTCCATTTTTATTCCTTCCTTTTGGCCATTCCTGCTCTGAGACTACTGTTGAAGGTTTTAAAATGTGGCTCCTGCCCTAAGGAGTACTCTTTTTTGGATGCATTTAGAAGTGAAATTGGTTTCTGTATAAGAACTGGTAGGGGATACTAGCCATTTTTTAAAATGTGTCTAGAGGTGTGTTTTAAGAAATATCCATGCAAAAGAGATATTTGATTATTTTATTGCAAAAGTATTGCTAAAGGATTTACTGGAATGTTGAAGTGCTTTTTTTTTCCTTTTGTTTCATTTGGTTTTTAAAGAGATGGGGTCTCATTCTGTTGCCCAGACCGGAGTATAGTGGTTTGATCATAGCTCACTGCAGCCTCGAACTCCTAGTCTCAAGCAAGCCTCCAGCCTCAGCCTCCCGAGGAGCTAGGACTACAGATGCACACCACCACACCTGTTCTACTTGGGATTTTACATAATACTCTCTGCATTATGCTACACGTTTTTTTTCAGCCCATCTCTGCCCCGTTGAATTTCACCTTTTTAATGCTCTGGTTTTATCCTCTACTTTCCTGCTTACAATTTCTAGTTCCATCTTACTGACCTATAGGATCAAGCTTGTATTTCTTAGCCATCTGTATATTCTAGCCTCTTTATAGTCTATCACCTAATTTTATTTCTTGTAACTGCCCAGAGCCTTTTCCCTACTTCTGCAAAACTTAGGTCATCCTCTTCTAGCTTCAAACTTGGGCATTATTTTGATCCTTCTACCCAGAATGCCTTCCTCTCTGCTCTCTTTATATACTGGTCACATCCATGGTAGAGCCAAGAGATCTCAGGTTTTTTTTAGTCAGAATGGATATGGATTCATATGTTAACTTGACTACTTGTCCTGGGCATAGTACTTAATCCTTCTGAATTGGTGTTTCAATCTGTAAAATGGGAATGTTGATACTTAACGATTATTGTAAGGCTTGACAGAGTTTTTTATTTTTATTTTTTTGTGAGACAGGGTCTCACTTTGTCACCCAGGCTGGAGTGCAGTGGCATTAGCTCAGCTCACTGCAGCCTCAACCTCCCAGGCTCACGTGATCCTCCCGCCTCAACCCCCCAAACCTCTGGGGCTGCAGGTACACATCACCATGCCTGGTTGATTTTGTGTGTTTTTTGGTTTCACCATGTTGCCGAAACCCGATCTCCTGGTCTCAAGTGATCCATCCACCTTGACCTCCCCAAGTGCTGGAATTACAGGCGTGAGCCACCATGTTGGGCCCAAAGAAAGTTTAGATGAAGTACTTAGTGTACCTCGTAGGTACCTTCTTGGAGAAACCTTTTCTTTCCACATCTTTTCCTTCACTGAGTTCTGGTAACACAAAGCCAGAAATGAAAAATTATTATAATAGGGGTTAGACACCAAATGTTTATGTGATTCATACATTCTGTCTCTTAGGATCAGTTTACAGTGCATTTACTTCCTCATGGACAAGAGGACGGAAAGCTAGAATGATCAATCCATAGTACCGTTGGAACCACTCATTTTATTATCTAGAAATGAAATCATTATGTACACAGTCGTGTGATGCTTACCGACAGAGATACATTTTGAGAAATATGTTAGGCAACTTCTTTGTAGAGACATCAGAATATAATTACACAAACCTAGATGGTACAGCCTACTACACCCCTAGGCCTTATGGAATAGCCTATTGTTGCTAAGCTACAAACCTGTACAGCATGTTACTATACTGAATACTGTAGGCAGTTGCAACACAATGGTAAAGATTTTTGTATGTATACATATATAAATAAGAAAAGGCACAGTAAAACTACAGTGTTATAAGCTTATAGGACCACCGTCGTGTATGTAGTCTGTTGTTGACCAAAGCACTGTTACATGGCAGGTGGCTGCACTTTGTTTCTCCAGCCAGTTTACACCTCAACATTTTCTTCTCTAGTCCTCAGTACCTAGCATAGAGCCGTGTGCAGAGCAGCTCCTCAGTGAATCAGCTGAGTAAATGAAAGGAACTTTCCAGTATAGACCACTGACTAGCACTTCAAAAAAAACACACTCTAGGATAACTTGGAATGTATCCTTTTGAAGAAACAGCAGCTTAAAAGTCATTTCATGTATGTTATTGTCTTCCTAGTACCTCTGTGAGGTCATAGGTTGATATGTATTCTCTGTCATTGTTGAAAACAGTCTAATAATTGCCCTTGGCCACAAAGTCAGGTCATACAGCCAAGCCATGGTAGAGCTGGCCTTGGAATACAGCTGGTCCAGAGTCCACTGATCTTTCCATTCCATTGCATTATCCATATTACCTTTTTTCTCTTATCAGATTGCTCTCGCCTTAGTCCTTAGATATGCCAGGTATTGCAATGAGTCACTTACAGTCAAATATAGTTGACATGTTCTTATGAATTTTTAATATAGAAAACAATATTGATTTGCTCAGAATTTAAAATTCATACTTTTTAAACTTCCAGGCAGTTCTAAATATCCTGATACGGCTCCATTTTTCTTTTTAAGTCATTTGTATAGGCATGGATATTGTCAGACAGTGATACATTTGAAGTTGCAAAATAATTAGAATGGAAATGCATTATTGGAAACATTTAAAGCGGTTTTTTCTTTTTTTTTTTTCTTTTTTTGAGACAGAGTTTCTCTCTTATTACCCAGCTGGAGTGCAATGGTGTGATCTCGGCTCACCGCAGCCTCCGCCTCCTGGGTTCAGGCAATTCTCCTGCCTCAGCCTCCTGAGTAGCTGGGATTACAGGCACGCGCCACCATGCCCAGCTAATTTTTTGTATTTTTAGTAGAGACGGGGTTTCACCATGTTGACCAGGATGGTCTCGATCTCTTGACCTCGTGATCCACCCACCTTGGCCTCCCAAAGTGCTGGGATTACAGGCGTGAGCCACTGCGCCCGGCCCCTTTTTTTTTTCTTTTAAAAGATCAGTTGAAATTAGGTGTAAGGCAGGGAATCCTTTAGATACTGAATCAGGCTGCAGCAGGCTTCTGAAGAATACTATTTCCTCAGGAAGTTGCCTTTCTTAAGTCTCATAACTGAAGTCATCAGTCAGGGCAGATATGGTCCAACCTTGAGAACAGATGTAACCTAAGATAACTTAAAAAACACATGTAATCTGTTCAGTGCAA